TTACAGTTACGATCTCTACGACAGACGATAGGGCGTATGCCGGGGCATGAGTTCGAGAGCATCCAGTAAGCTCTTCCCAACTGCTGGGGACTTCAGCTTGACATCACTGATGGGAAGGCCGCCTTGCCAGAGCTACACTCCACTCCTTATTCGCACGCCCTATCGTCTGTATAGATGGACTGTAATCCTTGTGAACTCTTATCTCTTATCCCACGTTCAGAGATGAATCGTACGCTCACCTTTGTGGATCTATCCTCGCCATGTGTGAGGTGAATGGGTCCGCAGTTGTACTAGCTACTTTCTCGATTCAAAAAAAAGAGAACGGAGCTGGAGGGAAATGTCGGCCTTGGCTTTCTCTGCACTCACCCGCCGAAAAAACCTGCGGGCGCGGAACACTGCAAGGTGATGCTACGTATAACTATAGCCGATGCAAGTCTACGTATAACTATAGTCGAAGCAAGGGCTGCACATTGAGGATAGCGCGAGTGGAGTAGGGAGATGGCACCCGGGTATCGCAATCCTCCAGCCTCGTCCCGGTAAAAATTTGAACGGGGAAAGTGACACGCTTCTGCCACTGTGAACCCATCCAGCTGAAGTGGACCGTCCAGAGAGTGCGAAAAACTGAAGTGACGGGTGCATTATTTCTCTTTGACTTACTCACGAGTGCAGAACTCGGCGTGCCTACATAGATAGTTTTGTGAGCGTTTACCACAGGTCACCCCTTTCCTTAGCACTCTCAGATGCAAACACTAGGCTCAGCTGAAGAGACATTCTGGACACGCATTCGTACATACAGCGAATTACATCAACTGAAATGATGACAGTCACTAAGCTCACCTATTAACACTGGCGTCAAAAAACATCTCTATCCGTATAGAAGCAAAATTAGAGCTCCTTTTCGTTCTGCGCCGATTTTCTCTTCCCGAGATGTACTCATGACTATCCTCAGGTGGTCCAACGAGACCATATGTTTCGCGTGGAGGACGGACCGACTGGAATTATAATTCTTGATGGTTATGCCAGTCAACCTCTCACAAACGATCTCAAGAGAGCGCTGTCCGGTCAGACTGACGGAGAAATACTTTCCGCTTTCGCTAGATCCTTTTGTTAGTTCATGTCGTTTGACAAAATCAGAAGAGTATACAATTCTTTCTCGTGATTTCTTGCAAAATAAACTGTAAGCTCTTGCAGAGCAGTAAAATGGTACAAGTGAATTACCTGGCTACACTAGTTTACCGCTCTTACCAGGATGATCCGTCCAGGCTTCGCAAGCTATCTTTTGATACTCACCAAGCAGCTTTGCGGCGAGAGTAACCACTCTGAGAGCCGAAGCTTGCTTGGATAGCGGGTTAATTTTGTATCATTTG